AAAGAGTGTCAGTTGCCAACGCTGATGTCAAGGCACCGCAAATACAAGCAGCAACTGGTGTTCCCCTTTCATTATTTGAAGAGGATTGCAGTGTGCCCTCTGGCTCTGTGTTTGGCTGTACAGAAATCTGGCCAGTGCGCAGCTGCGTGCTCTGTCCTGTTCTCCTCATCCAGCTCACTCAATGGCTTTTTTGATCCCTAGCACGATCTAAGCTATAGGATTTGTATTGAAAACTTGAGCTGGAAAACTAGGCTCATATCAATTGAAAAAATCATATTTGTGAAGTGTAATGTTTTCTAGAAGTTCCTTTGAAAGAGAACGTTTGCCTGCTCCTGGTGGAAAGCTGATCAGAATGCTGCCTCCACTTCTAGATCTTACTGCTGCACTTACCCCGAACAACAGAGACGACCTCCGCGCAGTCGATGCCTTCGGACCACTGGAATCGCCAAAAGCTCAGGCTGCAGAAAGAGATGCTGCTGAAAGGTCAGTGAGTGGGTCCACAAAATGCTTTTGCTTTGCCTGGGTGTCATAAGCGGATTCTTAAGCTGATAACTGCAAAACAAACACAAACCACCTACCAGACGTGTACCTCCTGCTTTTAGAAGGTGCTTGGCTCAGTAATGCCCTCTGGGTAGTCGGCCTTTAGCACTGCGACGTGATGCTTGACATAGGAAAAGCAGGTTTAGCTGTGGCTTACGCGATCCCCGCTGCTGTTGCTGACGTGCCACGCTGGAGGATGCCGTACTGCCGTCATGGCAGCTGGTGAAGGAGGCCCTTGAAATCTCACGTGTCGATTCACCTCCCACTGGTCACTACGTAGCTGTCTCCGTTTTACCGTGGGTCGGATTTGCCCCCAGTAATGGCTAAGGGCGCCAGTGTTGGATGCAGCTAGTGCGTGAGGAAAAACGTGCGTGTTCCAAATTGTCTGGCGGTCATGTTTGCCATCCACCTCGCTGCTAGTTGAAACCTTTCTGGAGTCAGATCAGGCGCCTGGTGCCTGTTGTGCTGGCTCTCGCCCGGCAGCACCCGGCTCTGATGTCCCGCTTGCGGCTGGAGGGCGGCATGGTTCCCGTGGTTCTGGGGAATCGTGGGGAGACGGTGTTTTACAGCACAGTGTGCATCTTTTGTGACAGACCACAGGAAGCGCATACTGCTGAAAACAAAAGTCGCTCCAAAAGGAAACGCTGTGAAGTCTGGGGAGAGAACCCCAAGCAGAATGACTGGAGAAGAGTGGGCGACTGGCCTGTTGGAATGAAAAACATTGGAAATACCTGTTGGTTTAGCGCTGTCATACAGGTAGGCCCTTAGAAAGGTTCTTCTGGAGCTGCTGAGCTCTTGGAATCTAAATGTTTCTCAGTCAGACTTAACTACGCAACGGCTCTGTGAAGTGGTCATCGCGTGCAGGTGAGTGAACGATCAAATGAGACTTCTCTTTTTAGTTATGTGATTGTGATTTCCTCCGGGTATACACAGAAAGAGCCAAAGAGCAGTTAAATAGACTTGGCGTAAAAATAGACACAGATACATGTAATCCCTGTGCACGTATGCAGGGGGCTTTTGGCGCAGCGTTGTCCAAGTGCTTACTGAATGACAGAGGCTTGACTGGCAAAGTGAACCGATAATTTCATTTTACTGCAGTTATTGTTGGCTCCATAATACGTGATGTATCATATTCCCGTTAATGGAATACACTGGCATAGAAGCTTGAATGAATAAGCAACTAGGCAGCATATATTATTAGTGATAACCTAAACAAGAAGAGACAACAGTAAGTGGAGCTGAGCAGATTTGTCTCTTCTAACCATTTCACGTCAGCAGACAGACATTCATCGTGTGTCTCCAGCTTGAAGAGGCAGTAAGAAAGCTGCGAATGGGCCCCTTTCTCAGTGTCCCTCTTTCCCGGGTGCTTTTTCTAAACTTGCCGATGCAGAACAGAGTACTCTTTCCTAAAGCAGTTACATATATCCTGGAAATCGCAGGATGAGATTTTGTTCTGCGGCGGGTACGCATGTGCTGCTCCGGCACCTAGACTGCTCCCCTCCTAAACGTTGGGCTACTAGCACAAGGCCATTGGCGAATTAGAACTTAACAAAAGGCTGTCGAGTAAAAGAGTGGCAACGGGGTGTCAAATTGCCCTGAGTCCAACCCTCGTGGATGCTGACTGGTCTCTCCCTCTCCTTTCCTTCCAGTCGCTGTTTCAGTTGCCAGAATTTCGGAGGCTGGTCCTTGGGTACTCCCTCCCACCAAACGTGCTTGAAAGCTGTCGCAGTCGCACTGTAAGTTTTCATCGAGTGACGTGGTAAAGTTTCCCCTTTTTGTGGTGGGCTGCTCTGCTCTTCCTCCAGGCAGATATAATTTGGGGCCATCTGAGACTCCTGTGCCTATCTTAATGGCTTTCAAATTGTTTAAGACAAATTCCAGAAATACTTTTCAAAGACAGAATCAATGTAGAAACAAATGAGCTGTTTCTCGTAAAGCTTTCCTCTGGAGCTCCCGACTGTGGTGTGGGGAGAAATTGGTGCGGTAAAACTTCTTTGGTAGCTCCGGACTGTTCGTTTGTTCGCACGCGCCATAGAAGAGCTGGTATTGAGCCAGTCTGAAGGGCCCTTTAACCCCGGCGCCTTCCGAGAGCGGTCAGCAGAAGGGGCTTAGGGAATATTTAGAGAACAAGGCATACACAGAAGAATCCTTCGCTTGTTATAGCGTCCTAGCTTGTGGCCACCCCTGTTTAAGAGGCTTCACTTGACTTGCTTTCACCTGTGCTCTTCCTACTCTAAAAAGCCTCAAGTGCAGGCAGAATACATTCATCAGTTCACCAGCTTTTTCCTTCTGGTGTAGCAGCTATTACTTCCGGCACTCTTTTCTCCAAAGGTTTGGTTTTGGTTAAGTGTTTTTTTTCTCCCACGCATTTGTTGGGAGACCAGGTTGCTTCCAAGAAAAGACACTTCCCTGTCTTCCTGCTTTTGGCCTTTTTAATTTTG